AAAGAAAGAAAAGTTACCCAGAGCCCCCTGACAATTAAAAATGTTTGTGCTCTACCCCATAATCCAAGATAAAGTGTAAGTGTTTTTGAAGTTCCCTTGGATCACTCCAGTGCCCCCCAGGGGGTGGTGGCAACCACTTTGGGAAACACTGCATTAAAGTTTTTTAAAAGGGTCCTGTTGGTGTAATGGGGGAGCTGTGGTGGTGTAGTGGGCTATGAGTTGGTTTCCAACCACGAGGTTACCAGTTCAAAACCAGCTGCTGCTCTGTGGGAGACATATGAGGCTTTCTATTCCTGTGCAGTCTTGGAAACCCACAGTCTATCCTACCCTATGGGGTCACTGTAAGTTAGGGGTCACTGTAAGTTAGAATTGCCTCAACAGCAGTGAGTTTGGATGGCATGATGTGTGTGTATGTGTGCCATGAACTCCTCCTCAGCATAATATTTGTAATGCCTAAACAAGAAATAAATAAAAATAAAAAAACCAGAAACTATAGGATGACAAAATAACAAACCAGATGGAAATATGAGTCAAAACCAAGGCACCCTGGTGGCATAGCAGATTCAGCATTGGGAGGCTCACTGTAAGGTTGGAGGTTCAAACTCACCAGCTGCTCCAAGGGAGAAAGATGAGGCTCTCTGCCCCAGCAAAAATTAAGAGCACTGGGAACCCTGTGCAGGGTGGCTATGAGTCAGAATCGACTGGAGAGCAGTGGGTGTTTGGAAGCTCACAAGACTGGGTGCTATCATAATATAATCTGTCTCCTTTAAAATGACAGTATTGCTTGGTTAACACCTTGCTGGTGTGCATGGCAGATCAAGAGAGACAGAATAGAAAAGAGATGCAGAGAGCAGAGGGGAGGAGAGAGGAGGAGAGGGAGGAAGACATGGCCTTAGCAGGGCTGCGGGTCAGGGTTTCCCTGACCCGAAGTTGGGGTGGGCGAGTGGCAGGTGTGGGAATGGCCATTTTTGTGTGTCTCTGACTCTCTCTTCCCCTGACTCCGTTAGCCCCCGTTTGACGGGGAGGATGAGGAGGAGCTGTTTCAAGCCATCATGGAACAGACGGTCACCTACCCCAAGTCTCTCTCCCGGGAAGCCGTGGCCATCTGCAAGGGGGTGAGCACCTCACTGACCCCAGACTCACAGGCTGGCCCCCCATGGCCCCCCACTGCTCCTCTTGAGGACTGCCTGTCCAGTAGTTCCTAACTCCTACCACGCTGGGCCTTCCTTCCCCCAGCCACTTGGTTTCCATCCACTGGGACAAGGTTTAGCATGTCCACATTTCTCTGGAATGACCACTCACCGCCCCGGCATCCCAAGGGTGACTTGTGACCCCATACGTTATTCTGTACCCCTCCCCCAACCTCAGCACAATGCAGGGAGGGCTGAGAGGCCAAGGCCGGCCTCCCACCAACGCGGGGTGGGTTCTGTCCGCCAAACGCTGGCTGCTTTGCACCCTCAACTCTGAACCTCAGGCTCTTCTTCTGGGGCGGCAGAGGCCAAGCAGGGGAAAGTATGCTTGCCCCAATGGGTTTCAACACATGTCAGCACACTTCAGCTTCGGGGTCCTGGGTTCCGTTGTCTCTCTGTGGACATGTGATGAGGGCTCTCTGTGTCTCTGTGTTTCCTCTGTGACCCTTTCTGGGTCTCGACCAATACCTTTGGCATCTCTGTCCCCTCTCTGTTGGTCTCTGCCCACACCCCCCCTCTCTGGGTCTCTGTCCTCCTTTCTCTCGGGATCTCTGTCCTCCCCGCCCCACCACCACCTCTGGGCCCCTGCCCCCTCCCCTCTTTCTGGGTTTCCACACCCCCACCCGCCGGTGTTTGAACTTCCCAAACCATCTGGGTCTCTCTCACCTCCCCTGGGTTTCCACCCCCCACCTCCTCTCTGTGTCCCTCTCTTTGGGCATCTGTCTCCCTCTTTTTCTGGGTCTCTGTCCATCCCCTCTCACTCTGTTGGTCTCTGTCTCCCTCTCTCTGGGTCTCTGCCCCCCACCCCCCACCCCCGTGGGTCTCTGCTCTGTCTCTCTGTCCTTCCACTCTGGGTCCCTGCTACCTTCCTCTCCATCTGCACACACTGGACACACACACACATATACACACACTGCTCTTTTTCGGTATGTTTCTGTCCTCCTGCTGGGTGCGTCTCCGTCTCTCCCTCTGAATGTTTGCCCATTGGGTCTGTGTCCCTCTCTCTGTGGGTGTCCACCTTCACCTGGGTCTCTGCCCCTCTCTCTCTGTGTCCACCTTCACCTGGTCTCTGTCCCTCTGTGTGTGTCCACCTTCACCTGGTCTCTGTCCCTCTGTGTGTGTCCACCTTCACCTGGTCTCTGTCCCTCTGTGTGTGTGTGTCCACCTTCACCAGGTCTCTGTCCCTCTGTGTGTGTCCACCTTCACCTGGTCTCTGTCCCTCTGTGTGTGTGTGTCCACCTTCACCTGGGTCTCTGTCCCTCTCTCTGGCTGTCCACCTTCACCTGGTCTCTGTCCCTCTGTGTGTCCACCTTCACCCTGGGTCTCTGCCCCTCTCTGTGTGTCCACCTTCACCCTGGGTCTCTGTCCCTCTCTCTCTGTGTGTCCACCTTCACCCTGGGTCTCTGTCCCTCTCTCTCTGTGTGTCCACCTTCACCCTGGGTCTCTGTCCCTCTCTCTCTCTGTGTCCACCTTCACCCTGGGTCTCTGTCCCTGTGTGTCCACCTTCACCTGGGTCTCTGTCCCTCTGTGTGTGTCCACCTTCACCCTGGGTCTCTGCCCCTCTCTCTGTGTCCACCTTCACCCTGGGTCTCTGTCCCTCTGTGTGTGTCCACCTTCACCCTGGGTCTCTGCCTCTCTCTCTGGGCACCCCCCATCCCACCCCCTTTGTCTCTGGGTCTTGCTTTTAACCTTGAGTGCTTTCTTTGTACCTTTCTTCCGCCTTGTTTTCTCTGTCTGCTTTTCTTTCTTTCTCCTTCCTCTTTCACCCCTGCCCCACACTCTTCAACATCCTCCTCCTCCTCCTCTTCTCCCTCCTTCCCTTACCCCCACCCCTTCCTGGATTCTTCCCTTGCCCCTCTCTCTGGATCTCTCTGCCCTCCACTCCCACCATCTGCCCGGCCTCTCTTACCCCACCTGCCCCCACCCCCTTGAGTGCGGATTTCACCTGCTCTTGTTTATTCTCGCCCTCCTTTCTTTTTTGCTTTTTCTAACCCCCACCCCCACCCCCATCTCTCGATCACGTCTCTCTCGCTCCCCCTTCTGGTTCTTCAGGTCCACGTCCACCCATCCATCCTCTCTCTCTCTGTGTTTTGTTTCCCCACAGTTCCTGACCAAGCACCCTGCAAAGCGCCTGGGCTCCGGGCCGGACGGCGAACCCACAATCCGCGCTCACGGGTTTTTCCGCTGGATCGACTGGGAGCGCTTGGAGCGGCTGGAGATTGCCCCTCCTTTCAGACCCAGGCCGGTCAGTCACCCAGCCCCTCGGGTTTCGGGGGGCGGCACGGGTGGGGGAGACAGGACATGTAGTGATTCTGGAAGAGACCGGACTCTCGGGACCCCCCCACCCCCCCACCTGTGCAATAGAACTGGGCTTGTCGGAATCGGATCGTCAGGCCTGTCTTCCGTGGTGTCTCAGGGTGGAGCGCTCGACCGTCTGCGCCCTGGACGTGGGGAGACAGCCGATGACGTGCATAAGGACACTCACACACACCCCACTCCTCAAACCCCCCACCCTCAGTTTTGTCTTTTTTTCACAGTGCGGCCGTAGTGGCGAGAACTTTGACAAGTTCTTCACGCGCGCAGCGCCCGCGTTGACCCCACCAGACCGCCTGGTACTGGCCAGCATCGACCAGTCCGACTTTCAGGGCTTCACCTACGTGAACCCCGACTTCCTGCACCCAGACGTCCGCAGCCCCACTAGCCCGATGCCCGTGCAAGTCATGTAATCTCAGCTGCTGCCACTAGGTGTCCCTACTGCCTCCTCTGCCAGCGCCACCCCACTCCAGCTCCACCCCCACCACAGCTTACTTCCTCCGGAGCCTCCTGGGGTCTAGATACGCCCCACGACCACCGCTCCCTCCCCTCCCCCCAATCTCTAGCATCCCAGGCTCCAAACAGACCCCGGAGCCTTCCCGTGTTCTAGACTGAACTATGAGCTCTAGATTTCCCCCAGCCTCCTGGACCCTGTCCCTGCTCCAGGGGATTCCAGACAAGCATCCCTCCCCATCGGTTCTGCGCCTCTCCTCCACGCCCACTCTGGGGACAGTCTCATGGGGAGGGCTGTTACAGAATGAACCCCCACCCCCACTCCAGTTCTGGAGTAATTGGGAGGCTGTGCCCCCCTGCTCCCGTAACAACCCCCTCCTCCGCTCTCCCCGCCTTGACGGTGGCGTCCCTGGGATAAAAGGAGGACCCTTCCCCTACGGTCTGCTTTCGTTCTAGACACTTCTACCCCGAAACCCATCACTGCTCTGCCAGTGCATGGCCCCGCCCTGCTCGGAACCCCCTTCCCGCCCCCATGCCTGCCTTTCTCTGGGACACCCCCAGCCCCCACCCCAGCCCCACGCCCACACACACGCTGCCTCTCCTGCACCGGCCACAGCTGCTGGAGAATAAATTTGGGATGCTGATGCTGAAGTGTGTTTGGATATGTTCCCCCACCCCCCTTAAGCTTGGGAAATGGAGTGGGGGGGGCAGTGACATACATAGAAACAAACAGAAATGGGAGGGAGGGCGGGGGCATAAAACACGGAGACCCACTGAGACGGCAGACACTACAGCACGAGAGCGCGCAGATGGCCAGAGAGGGAGACAGAGAACAGATCACCGGAGGGAGGGCAGAGCAGAGAGACAGAAGATAGTCAGAGATAGAGATAGAGCAAGAGACGGGGAGAAGATGGCAAGAGACAGAGATGACAGAGCAGAGAGAGTAGAGAGAGAGAGCTGATAGCCAGAGGCAGAGGGAAGATAGACAGAGATAGAGCAAGAGACAGGGAGAAGATAGAGAGAGAGCAGATAGCCAGAGAGTCTCCCATAAAAAAACAGGTAGACAGCTGATACCTCAGAGAGAGGGAGGGGAGAGAGAGAAGATAGACACGCAGAGAGAAAGCAGGTGCCTAGAGCGAGAGAATAGAAGATAGACGGGAGACTAGAACCCCAGAGGGAGAGAGAAAGGAAAAACGCAGAGAGAAAGAGCGCGCACGCACGCACTGCCCCTCACCAAGTGAGCTCTTGCAGTGCAGCGCCACTGGAAGGGGATCCGCGCAGGGCAGACAGTGGACAGCGACAGGTTCCCCATTAGGACACACTCGTGTGACATACATACACACGGGTACACACACGCAAACACACAATACACACACTCCCTGAGAGGGAAGATGAAAAGCAGGCCCCACTGGGAGACTGGAGATTCCATCAGATCCCTCCGCCCGTCATAGGAACCCACCGGGACCCCTGAACTAGGAGAACACTGCAAGCAGACGGCGATGCTCTCCCCACCCGCCCCCTCTCCCCGCCTCCTCTCCCCGCTGACCCACTTGTGCGCTGGGAGAGTGGAGGAGCCAGTCCGACTAGACTACACTTCCCAGCAGACACCGCGGCGAACCCTTCCCCACAATTAGCGGCCCCTCGCCACTGCGTCGATGGGAAATGTAGTCCACGGACCCGGGCAGGCCAGCCGGGTGGTGGTGAGCCCGTGTCCTCGTGTTTGGAGGGGACCGAGCCCCAAAGCTTCTCAGGGCCCCCTCGAGGGCCTTGGCGTCTCTCTGTCCTAGCAGGCGCCTGGATCCCCGCGACCCTGTCCAACACCACGCTGGCGCTGCCCCTGTTTTCCCCCCAGCACCCCTTGTGTCCTCCTGTCCCGTCCCCGCGGGTCCCAGCCCCCGCTCCGACCCTCGGCGGGCGGCCTGCCCCTTTAAGAGTGGCCCCGCTGACATCACGGCGGGTGGGGGGGGGTACTGGCCCGGCTCCCGGCTCCGCGGCGGTTGCAGGACCCGGCTCCGCTCTGCGCCCGCCCGCTGCTCCGGGGACCCTGGCCTGGGACGCCCCCTCCTGCCTCCTCCATCCGCCCAGACCCCAGGCTCCTCCTCAGGCCCGACCAGAGCCCCTGTCCTCACCGGGGGACCCCCAGGACTATCCCCCTGCGGTCTTTCCTTCCCAGGGTCTAGCTACCTCTCCCTGTCTCTTCCCCAAGCTCAAGGTCTCTGGGCTCAGCGTCTCCCAGCGCCCGGCCTCTGAGCGTTGCCCCGTCTCTGTCTCTCCGTGTCTCTCAGATTTCTCTTCCTCCGATCCTCTGAACCTCAGGCGGGGGGGTGTCTCAGACTCCCTCTCCGCCTCCCCTCCTCTCTCTCTCTCTTTGTGGAAGTCTCGCTGTCTCTGCTGGCCCCAGACTGTCTCAGCCTCAAGGTCTCCACGTCACTCGGGGCGTCCTCCGTCTGCCTGCCTCTCGGGCGCCCGGGACCCTCTTTCCCCGTCTCCCCCCCATCTTCAAGGCCTAGCGCCTTCCCTCGCTCCCCGCATCCTTGC